AGATAACAGGCCACCAAAACGAATTAGTCACCACCTCTTGTCATTTTCTCTCCCCCACACCCCTCCCTTTTGTTACTATTTTTTGTTTTGAAATCATCATTTTAGAGAAATATAGATCTACTAGATTTTAAGGGTCTATTTGCACTTGGAGAAAACAAAACAGGAGGCTTGGCTTGTCTCATTTTGCAGATACTTGAGTATAAACGCTTTCTACTTACCCTCTCTCTTCATTCCTGCCCCTAAAGTGTCCCTCGACTTATTTACTTTACTTAACTTTTCATTGTTGTGTTGAGAAGTTGGATTTAGTCCATTTGTTTTTATGAATGGAGTTTTGTGATTAAAAAACATTTATTTTCATTTAACCAGCGGGTTTCACTGAAATTCAAGACTAGTTCTAAGTAAATCTTAGACCACTCTATTTTTCCACACATTCCCTACATTCTTTTTTTCCCCCAATATTGTTTCTAAAATGTGTTGCTAAAAAATGACGATATTTATAAGAAAACTATTAATCTCCATCTAGTACTGATCACCAAAACCAGCATTTATGCTGTTATAAAGTTTAAAAATAATCTGAGTTAACAGATTGCTTAAATTCACTTTGGGCCATTCATGGTGCTTTCACGATTTGTCAAAGTATATGGCAAAATTCACCAGACAAGTTTTAATCTCTTTAAACTGAATATGCTCTTTGGGCAGTTCTTACACAAAAATGTTTCAGATTTTTAAATTATTCCTTTTAAGAAAAATGATTTGAAAAAGTAGCGTGCTTTTCTACTCACCTAACTACAGTAGTGCAGTGTACAATTAGGGTACGAACTTCAATAATTATACTAAAAGATGCTTAGCAGAAAACTGTAAGTGTACATGTCAACTTTTCACTCTTAGGCTACTGTTTCCTGAGAATTTCTAAGCTAATTAAGTTTAGCTAGAGCCAGCGTCCCTTTACCCTAAACCTCGTCGTGGTCCTCTCCAGCGCCCCACCCCCTGCCTCCAAGCACACACCCTCACACTCCTGAAATCACTTCTCCACTCCATCAATCCCATCCCCCACCCAAAATACACACAAACACACACACGCGCGCGCGCACGCACACACACACACACAGACACACACACACCACTTGTGCTTCCAGGACGTCGAAACAGAGGATATTTCCCTAGGGAAAGAAACCCTGCCTGGCGTGATCTGCCCATTGGTTGTTTACCCGGAGAAATCTACATGTTTAAGGGGGATGGTGCATCCATAATCAGTCCGTCCCTATAGGACTTGGGTCTTGGCGACCTTTTTGTGACCTCTCCCTCCAGAGGAGGCTGCTGTCACTTTAAAAATTTACTGAAAGAGGAGACCGTCTGGCTTCCGATCACTTTGGGCGGCGGGGAGATAGCTCCTTTTCTCCCTCGCCCCGGGTTCTTTCTGGATGGCCGAGCAGATCCTCTTTAAAGAGACAGTTCATGAAATAGAAACCCGGCGGCAGAGCTTGGAGTTGCGAAGGGGGAAGAGCCGGTGAGGGTCTAGGACCAGGGAAGGCGCGGCAGACGATCTGAAACTCGGCTGGAGCTCTCGTCGCTCCTGTGGCCCCCCACCTTTTCAAACTCTCCTCCTCCGGCCCGTCCACCCCCCACCCCCCACACACCTTGGAACTGGGAGAGAGAAGTGGAAGAAGTTTTAGTGGGTTTCAGATAACTTTCATTACACATTGGGCTGATAAGAGCAAGAGAAAGTGAGAAAAGAGGGAGGTGATGTGAACCAGAAGGAATAGCTCCGAGCTCATTCAGGAAGGGGGGCGGGGGGGAGTCAAAACACACCAAACCCGGGTCACCCAGACGAGAGGAGACATCATTTCTGGTCTTAAAAAATACATTGTTGGAGGACAATAAATCTGAAACGCGTGGTCCTGGCGAGCAGAACCTAGAGACGGACAAAGTTATCAGAGACTCAGTCGGAAATCGGGAAGCGAGGCTTTTTTTTTTTTTTTTTTAACATCTCGAATGTTGCTGGGGATCGTTTGAAAGGATTTTCGTGCAGGAAAGTTGGGGGCTGCTGATTATTTTGTTTGTTTTAATTCTTCTGTGATTGCTTTTTATTGCTGAGTTGAGGCCATAGAAATCTTAAGGTAAGAGAACTCACTTTTAAAAAAAAGTCTTGGCGATGTGCATAGTTTGTAACTTCGGACAGTTTCCTGCCTTGGCACCCCTTCTCCCGGGCGCCCCCCGCCCAGCCCCCTCCCTCCAGCTTTCTTTTTCCTACTTGCCCGCAGTCTCGCGGAGCCCTGCTGCTTATCTACGTTGCTCGGACTGGCGATTTCCTTGTTCCTCCTGTGGAACTGTGCGGTCAGGACGCGTCTCCCGGGTGGGTCGCTCGGCCTTCGGTGGGTCTCTGTCGGCTGTCGGCCTCTTTTCCTAGCACTCTTCTACTTCCCCTCCCTCCGTGTGCCTGTCTGTCGGGATCTGGGACGCAGAAGGTGGGGTTGCCAAAATCTGAATTCCTGGCACCCGCCACGCTACTTTGGAGCCGCTTTCGGCCGAGTCTCACCTTGCCAAGTAACAGCTTTGCTGTCCAACATCGTGAGCTGCTTCTCCAGAAAGTCACATTCGGACCCTTTGGCTAAATGGTGGGGATTTTTCCCCCCCTTTTGCTGTTGGTTGTTTGAAAGGGCCTTTCTCTAAAGTCCACCTAAAGGGAATTCTCTCTCCCTCTCTCTCTCTCTCTCTCTCTCTCTCTCTCTCTTGAACTATCTTTGGAACTTGACAGCTTTTAAAAACACAGGAGTGTGTTAGATAAAATGATGGAGGATGTATGATTACTTTTATTTTATTCGAGATTTTGGGAACGATTAAGACATTTGGGAGATAAATGCAGTTTTGGAGGCAAATCAAAAGTGAATAATTTACCCAGGGGAAAACGTTTCTGGAGAAAGTTAAGCTTTTGTCTTGGGGCAAGAATATTGAGAGTAAGAAAGTTAATATGTTGGTGAAATACTTGAATAATCATGTAACATATGTAAAAAGACATTTTTTGGAAATGACCTTTAAAGAATTTTCACTGTTGACAGTGGCAATGGCAATAATGTTAACACGGAATAAAATTACATCTAGAATTTTTATGTGCAGTGTATGCAATACTTAACTCTCTGCCCCCGCAAAAGGCAATGCTGGAAAGCTAGAGATGCTGCTTGACTTTGAAATTAACAAGTTCTTCACGTCTGTCTGAAAATCTGAAGTGAAACTGGTGTTGCATTTCACTGACTTCACCCCTATTTCCTTCATTAAATATTTCTCTGGTGTGTCAGTAGCACTGTCTTTTTGTTGTTGTTGTTGTTAGTTAAGAAAACATACAACAAAAGATCAACCAGAGCCGGAACAAACCAAAAAGCAAACAAGACAATCCCAACTTTAACTGTTTTTAAAATGTGTATTGCTATTGTTATTTATGTGCCTTCCAGACATCTGAGGAGGGGTGAAATCTCAAGTTGCCATTTTAGTTATTTCACCTTGAGAGTTGAAGAAAACAGCTTGAAGTTTGTAATTTTATAAATTAAAAGAATTGTTAAAATCTGCCCCTCTCGAAAGAGAGGCTAGTTCCTATAGATGTTTTGTTGCTAGTGTGAAGAGGTGTCCTTGAAAAAGACTTGATTTGTGTAAGTGAATGTGTGTGTAGCAATTATTATCCTATCTTCTGTTTCATTTTTTTTTTTTAAATTGTGGGACTACTTATTGCCCTTTAATTGCCTCATGGCCAAAGGCTTAATCATAATGCCTCTTGACTAGAGCCCTCAGAGCACTGAGCTTCTCCTTGAAGTTTGTGGTGAGTTAATGACTTGAATCTGCTGCAACTGGGTGATTACCTGAATTCTATGCAAAATTGCTTTTGGTCTATTTATCCAAGAGTTTAGTTTTAACTTTTTTTTTTTATGTATGTAGAAATATCAGCAGAGTTCTGTGAGGTGTCTTTAATTCATTAATTTTTGTTCAAGACTATTATTTAGTCCTAGTAGGAAACTTCCTGAAGTTTGCATTAACTGATTGACATTAACTTACTAACCTTTCTAGTTGTTCACCTTTATTAGGTCAACACCTCTGCAGCATTTCATATTGATATTTAAAGCTTCATTGCTGCAAAGTGAATCAGAATAGGTTACTTTTAAATATGCAAACCCTAGAAAAAGGATGCTTCGCATCTCAATTTTTAATAGATGTCTTAAGTTATTGTTAATATTTAGGATAGGCCAGATGTAAAATTCTTGTGAAAAATAAGCACACACAACCATATATAAGGATGGCAGGTTATTAAACTATTCTTTTTATTTTTTATGTGTTTACAAGCCAGTTTTGTTATATTTATTTACTAAACATAAAATTGAAGCATGCATTGGCATGTGTTAATAAAACACTAGGTTGCCATCTTTTCATGAGTGTTTACCTATCTCTTGTTTTCATTTGTTTTTCTTTAGTTCAGTCAGGAACACCTATGGGATAAATACTACTTTTTCAATTAATTGTGTGATGTATTTGGTTTATGGTAGTGAAACTGCACACTGTAAAAGGATTTAATAATATTTAAATTAAAGTTTTTAATTGGATTAATTTAAAGCGTGGAAGTATACTCTTACATGGAAAGACTGAGTAGACAAGATTAACTATTAAGTTTAGAAATATGTTAATATATGCTGTTCAATACTGTTTTTTTTGTTAAAATGATATTGGATAAAGTTAGGTCAATAGCACTCATTCATGCATCGCATGGAAAAACAAGCATTTTTTTGAAATCAGTTTTGTAATAAATTACAATTGCTTTGTTTCTCTAAAAAAGCAGTACATTGATTGCCACTTGTAAGATAACATTATTTTATCTCCTTTATTACTTTGTATTTTGTCTGATGATTTTTTCCTTTTAAAGATTCAAAATAGTAATATTATTTGAATAAAATGTTTTCAAGCAATTAACCATTCTAATGAATGTATATGGAAATTGATTGTTCTCATCTTCTTTCTTCTAGATCTTAGATGAGTTTTGCAATGTGAAGTTCTGCATAGATGCTAGTCAACCAGATGTAGGAAGCTGGCTTAAGTACATCAGGTTCGCTGGCTGTTATGATCAGCACAACCTCGTTGCATGCCAGATAAATGATCAGGTATGTTGTAAAGATATTTTGTTTTTCTTTGAAAGCACTAAAGTATCCGTGAAGCCTGAAGAATAAAAATAACAGCGAGCTGCAGTAGACCCTTGTGGCCTGTTTGTTGATATGGTGAAAGGTAATGCACAAATATAAATAAGATGCAGAATCAAGTCATTTTCAGTATTACTTTTTTTCTGTTCTACTTTTGTTGGTAGTTTATTTACTTTGTATTAAATGTAATTCATAAATGGACTGATTTCTAAATGTGAATGAATGATTTTAAAACAGAGTGATATTTATTTCTAGTTGTTGTTTACCTTTTAGTCTTTAACATCAGAATGAGGAGACATTCATAGAAAGTATTGAGCTAATCAAGAACACTAGAGATTATGCAGAAATTGGAAGTGATACACTTGAATTATTATAAAAATTTTATTTGAAATAGTAGGTTGGTATGATCTATGTTCATAGGTATGATCTGTGTGTAAACTTATCTGTTTATGCATTTTGTGTTGCTATGTGTAATTCAAAGTAAGAAACACTTGCAGACTGATCTTGTTCTGTAAATGTGAAAAAGTTAAAAAATGTCACTTCTGGAAATTGCTTTATGGAGGCCCATATAGTGAAATTAACTTTAATAAAAATAGCTATGAAATAAAGATCATGAAAATATCGTGAAACATATATTGCACTCAATAAAGTTAGGTTATGAATCCTGTAACCTAGTATGACAATACCTAGAACAACGAGAAGTTCAGCTTGTTAATTTTAGTTTTATAAACATCATAAGGTTAGAATTTAATTATGTTATCATCATTTATTTCTTTCAATCCAATGGTTACCTAAATCAAGTATGTCTCAAAGACCATGTTAAAATGGCTGCTTGGCAAAGCTATTATGAAAATCACCACCAAGAAAAAGAAAAGTTTAAATTAGATATTTTGAATTGAGAGCTGTTAAGGAATGCTAATATCATATAGTCTAAGACTCCATCTCAGTCATCATTATGAGATTATTGTTTGGCATTTTACCAGCTACCAGATAGTTTTTACTGACTAAACCTTATAAGAGGTAGTAAATTGTAAAATTAGGTTTAAATGGCAATCATTTAAAAATCTTCAGCATATATCAAAATAATAAACCAATCAATTGTTTTTTTCCCTTTGCCGTAAGAAAACAAGAAGCATTATTGACAAAGGACAACATTATTAAATTAGGTATTGATTGTAAGCAGAAAATATGCCCCGTTCGTCTTTTGAGTTACTGTCACCATCAACAACATTTTTGAGCACCCACTATTTGTAAATGTGAGAAATATGTAGGTATTGTGAATGAGTGAATTGTCCATCTTAGGTTACTCTAAAACAGGAACTGCAAGATCTCAAAAGGCGGCTGTAAGATGAAATAATGCAATTATATCATAAAAATGATTTGTTATCCATATTTATTAGCTGTAAGAACAATTTTTTTTTAGACAGTTAAATTGTAGACTCAGTAAAAAAAAAAAAAGTTTAAGGATGGGGCTTGTAGCCAGTACTTTTTTTTCTTTTATTAATTTTGTGTCTAATATTTTATTTTAAATATATGCTTGTCTTTGGGAGTTTTGATTACATTAAAAAGGGAAGTTATTTTCCTGTTCATAAGTATAATTAAATTGCTTATTAGAACAGGCATTTATAATTTTAACACAGCCACTACTGAGGTACACAGAAAATACATTGCTCAAGGAATAGTATATTTATTTTTACTGAAGTACCAGACAAAATAGTTAATCAGGAAAATCATAAAAGACTAATATTAGACACATACCTATTATTTCTGTGAGGACTCTTTTTAAACTTATATATTCTGTTGGCAGAAATTTAAGATGGTAACAAAGTACATATCAAATAACATAATTGTGAAATTGACATTACATGGTCAAGTAAGTTCACCCATAAACAACAAGAGAGGAAAGCAGAGGTAAAAGTCAGATTGTATGATAGGCACATATGCGTACAATCGTACTTAGCTCAGTTGACAAGACAAAAGAGAATAGACACCCAACAGGGTATGAATTTATTATAAATATATTCACCTATAAGTTTATATGCCTGTTTGTAAAAGTCAATTAATTTTAGCATTTGCGACAGCTTTGAAATGTGAATGTTAGACAAGGTACAGTGATAAAAGAGCTGACTTAGGAGTCTCTAGATCTATTTTTTTTGTTGTTGTTCTCTTATCTAAGAGAAATAGGAGGCTGCCAAATGGTAAATGAGCACAACTCATCACATAGTGAACACTCCCATTGTGTGAGATATTATTTAATATCCAGACACACACAGAGAGAGAAACCCTGGATCAGGAATGATTACTAAACACTGACAATATAATCTCACCTGCACAACATAAAAGGGATGGAACACTCTACAAAAATTGTAAAACGTGTTCTCTTAGCTCTTATTCTTAGATAGAGCTCAAGTTTGGAAAATGGATTTAAATAACAAGACAGTTATAAGTTCCGTACTCAAAAAAGGGAAGAATTTCAAATGAATCTTGCAACTTCTGACTAGTCATTATAATAGAGTATTTAACAAAAAGAAAAAAAGAAAAAGAAAAAAAAAGATAACCCCGAATAGGAAAGTGTATAAATTGCAGTTTACTTTGCAAGGTACATGTTTCGAATATCACATTTAATTAATATGGATCAGTTTTATAATTATGTGGAAGGGTTCTGTGAAAGAGGATAAATGTGCTTGACAAGATAATAGTATAGTTTGGTAACTGGGGGGCAGCCAGAATGCATGCACTGGACGAAACCCATATATAATTTGCATGGTATAGAAGAAGTGTTTGGAAACATAGATTTTGATTTTCACGGGAAGTTGGTAAAGGATGTAATCTATTTCATATCATAATATGAAAGGCCATCCGATTAACATTTTCTTAGCATTTTCCACTAGCATTTTATTTTAGGGGATTTTCCTAGTTTAAATATTCCAGTAGGTTCCTATGAGCTATTTCACCTCAAATTTTTTTTTTTCAGATTAGAGTAAGCTTTCTGGAAGCTTTCATTCTTGATCATACTAACTAGAAGATTCAGGTTTATTGGTTTTAGAAGTCTCTTTCAGTTCATGCTTTCAAAATTATTGCATTGATGTTTTTGGAGATAGAAACTTTGAAAACACTAGCATAAATGCTAAGCAGTAATTTCTAAGTAGGGGTAACTTCTGACTGATCTCCTTATTCCCTCCTGAAACTATTATATTTGTTATAATAATTTGTCTTTGCAAAAGGCCATACCAAAAAATGCTTATAAATTAAGACCACAATCACACTCAAGTCATAACTTAGTAGCAACATTAAAAACATACAGGATGTTTTACTCTTGAAATTCTAATTCCCACCCCCCTCCCCTTATTCCTTGCAGTGTCTATGCTCTTATAATTCTAGTGGGAATCTTTCATTGAGCAGATAATGCTTCAGCATTTTTATATTTGAACTCTCCAAAATTGTCCCTGGTTGCTTTCAGGAATTGCAATTGGCACTGAGTGGTAGAGCAGGACAGGAGCAAAAATAGAGTTGGATGATGAAAGTTCTTTCCAGAACAGGTCCTCAAGAGAACAAAATATGCAAAGAAGCCTGAAAAAGGCTTATTACTTATTCAAAGATTCATTTTGCATCAGAAGCACCCACATGTTTAATGTTGAGTGGGCTAAACATCTAGACAGTCTGTGAGCTGTTTTGTGTTTTAACCTGGACATCCTGATGGTTTTCCTTTGATGATGTGTAGGTAGCTATCCCACTTTTACAAGCCAGTTTGATGAGACGACGGAGCACAATGCTTTAGATTTGATCTTACCCTGTTCCTACCTTTCCCTTCATCCTTTGATAAATTTCCTCATACCTCCACATTTCCATTCCCTTTCCTGAGATCAAACACAAGGACTACTTATGGACTCCCTTTCTGTCTCAAACAATGCCCACTCATCTACGAGTACAATACAAGTTATGTGTAGTTATGCAATAATTCTCTGGACAAAGGTATTCCTCTAATATTTCTTCAAGGTAAAACCATACTGGTTATAATCAGACAGGTCACCCAGGCACAATTCTTGTAAGCTGGCTCTTTAGACTTTCACAATACCTGCCTTTCCAGTCATGATCAGTAAGTAGAATGGTCTGGGTGTGTGACTTGGGGTAACATTTTAGACGTGTGTATCGTAGGAAGGAGCACCGTTTCATCCAAGCTCCTGGCCTGCCCCAACATGGTCTACAAGTGGAATACTGTTTTCACCAACCCAGGACATTATTAATCTTGTCATTTACACAAGGTGATAAGTCCTTTCATTTTTAAAGAGGCCTTTGACAGCTGGTATTTAGTAAGTAGAAGAAGAGAAGTCTGCTGTTCACTCTGAATAAAAAAGAAATGTGTCCATAAGAGATTATCTAATGCCTGACTTATATTTTGAAGAAATAAGATCTGGAAGAAATAGTGCCCCGCAGAGAATACATGGCCAGGATCCACTTAGGAGATTCTGCTAGCTCCCTTGTGCTTGATGAACGGCAGCAAGATTCTACCGTGTTTTCAGTTGGAACAGGCATTGTTCTCATTTGTGCCTTACCTTATAAACTTTTAACTGCTTCCAGGACAATCATGGCTGAATTGGCCTCCCGCTTCCCCTCTCACTCAGGTCCACGTCAGTGTTCAAGCCGACTGCTGTGACACTAGCACACTATTATTATTGGAAAGTTATTATGGGCTCAATTATCAAGTTATTTTCTTTGGCTTTTCAACTGAGAAAAATGTTTTTCTGCATCATTCAATTATTGCAATTTGAGCAAAAAAAAAAAAAAAGCAGGGAAGATCAGCTGTGTAAAAAAAAAATGTAATTTGCTAGCCTCTTTCCACTTTTCAAAAATGTTTGCGTCTACTGTCAGGTAATTTGTTCACTTGCTCTTCCTTTACAAGGATTTCTGTCCACATTTTCTATGACCTCTTTGATGTTAAAATTATTATTGGCTTTGGGTATTTT